GATCCACAGGTAAAAAAAAATGGTAATACGAAGGTACATCTATATACGTGCAAGAAAATTTTGCAACCGAGTTTAACGAACCGCTCGTTTCCTACGATTAAGCGTGCATTTTTCAACGGCGCGCGATCTTTTTCATCGCTCGGCCGCGACGCGCATTCTCCCTCTCGCTAAACCCCCCGGTGTCTCGCGCTTTAATTTCCAGCCTCGACATTTGCGTAACCCAGTTTCGCCATTGTTCAATGGTAGATCGTAACGTCCGCCATCCGGATAGGAGATTATAATGCTCGCGTGTACGTGGTACCGCGCATCGTCGCCTCTTGGTTTATTATATATATATATATATATATATACATATCATGTATGCGCGTATGGATGTGTGAATGTATGTATGTACATGTGCGTATACGCGTGTGCATCGCGCTACCATAGACGAAAGTAGACTTATACATACGCCTATACGTGTGCGTGTTTATGTACATAGCAGTAATGCCGGTAGAATTTACGAATTCAACGACTTTCTCCTCTTATCTGAGGTCTCGACCTCGAGAACGGTTCGCGCCAGTTTTATGTTGCGATACTTTTCTCTTTTCGTCACTGCCAGCATGGTTGCAGGTTCGATTCCGAATGATTCATCGTGGACAATTATGAAAGCGCGACAAGCGACGTAAATGTTAGTTGTCGACATATAAAACTAAAAAATGGAAATTAAAAAGTAACTCTTGTTTCAAGTTGCATTTGCATTTATGTTTCAAATTTTTAAGTACGAGGTGGAACATTGAAAATTTGATTTTTATCAAATTTAATCAACATTTAACTAACAGTAATAAATCTAATTAAAGTTGAAGTATTTATAACCTTTCAAGTTTTTACTTTGTTATCGTGTGCTACATTTGGAACGTGAGCTATGTTAAAAAATAAATAAAAAAGTATAAAAATATAAAAGTGTAAAAATATGAAAACATAAAGGTATAAAAGTATAAAAATATAAAAATAAAGTAGAGAGATATCAATTCAACTTTGATACTTTGAAATAACAATCTCGTATACTTCAAAAAAAAAAAAACAAACTATTATATT